ACGCGTTCCGTACGAGTCGATGACGTGAGGGGGACAAGGTCCGACTTCTCGAAGATCAATCTTAGGTCAGGATATCATCAGCTGAAGGTGGGAGACCAGGATATAGAGAAGACTGCATTCAAAACGAGATATGGACACTACGAGTTTTTGGTTATGTCGTTTGGACTAACCAATGCTCCATCAAAATTTATGGATTTGATAAATAGGGTCTGTAAACCTTTCCTAGACAAATATGTAATAATGTTCATAGATGACATTCTCATATGCTCGAAGAGCCAGCAGAGCATGTAAAACACTAGCACGGAGTGTTAAAAGTTTTGAAAAAGGAGAATTTGTATGCAAAGTTCTCCAAGTGACATTTTTGGATCCGAGAAGGCCAATTCTTGGGTCATGTGATTAACCAGGAAGGAATAACGGTTGACCCAACAAATATCGAAGTTGTGATGAAGTGGGAACGATCAAAAATTCCCACTAAAATACGTAGCTTTTGGGATTAGCTAGATATTACAAAAAGTTTATCCAAGGCTTTTCTTCAATAGCTGCTCCATTGACAGCTTTGACCCATAAAGGAGCTACATATACAGGGAGTGAGAAGCATGAAGAAGCTTTTGAGAAGTTAAAGAAAAATTTGTGTAAATCACTGATTCTTTCTTTACCAGACAGAGTTGAAAACTTTACAGTTTAAAGTGATGCATCTGGAGTTAGGTTAGGTTGTGTTCTGACCCAGAGAGATAAAGTGATAGCATATGCATCTCGACAACTGAAAAGCACGAGAAGAACTACCCCACTCATGATCTGGAGTTGGCAGTGGTAGTTTTTGCACTAAAGATATGAAGATATTATCTTTATGACACAAGGTGTAAGTTGCGCGTCTAAATAGAATAATAATTAGGACAAATATCCTTGACTAAAGTTGAAGTAGTCGTAACAAGGATGCCGGAAATATAAGGAACACTTAAATCGGACTTATAGCGAAGAAGTTATGATCATTTGAAGTTTCACGATCCGACCCGATACAACAACACGCGTTGTAAAAAGTAAATTTTGTTAGGTTACTTTTTAGCCTTAGTGATCTAATTTTTTTTTCGTAGTAGTCGTTAAACCTAGAGCGTGCATAAAGAGAACGTCCAAATCTAACTTCGTGAGAGGAAGTTATAATTTTTTGAAGTTTCAGCGCAACATTGAGGGCACAAAAATCGAATTTTTGTTCGGTTGATTTTTAGCCAAAACAATCTAAATGAGATTTGAAGATCTCGTTAATAGGAGTTCAACAATATAAAGAAAGTCGAAAACGGACACCGGATGAGAGAGTTATGTGTTTTATATGGGCTTTAACAGTCGAAGCCTGTGTAAAATAAATAAATTCAAAATTAGCCGATAGAGTCTAAATGAAAGAAGTAGATCCCGTCGATAGCTACACGTGGATATAAAATGTGTCAAAAATGGAGTTCGTATGAAGAAGTTATGCAATTTTGAAATTTTGCAATTTAGTGCGCGCGTATGCGCGACGCGTATGACCTTATAGAAGCCACAATGTCGCTTCACCCATTGATCGCCACGTGTCAAGTTTTCAGAGGGGAAGAGTAGTGCCTAAGCATGTGTGTAGCGCACACCTGCCCTGTGCGCGGCGCACATGGGTATTTTCCCTCCTATAAATAGCATTCCGTATGCAACCCCTTTCCCTCATCCCCTACAAGTTTCTCTCTTGAATTCTCTTTATTGTAGCCCCATTTTCCCTAGGTTTTAGTATTTCAGAGTAGCCCTGTAACCCCTAGGAGCCCGACATCTTGTAGTTAACAGCCCAGAGTTCCGCCAATGCAATTTCCGGATAAGTGTAAGTTAAATTACACTTATCCTTGTTTTAGTGTAATTTATATTCATAGTCATAGTCGTTGTTATGAACCTATAAATAAAACTATCATCAATTCCAAGTTATAATACTGATTGATCTACTTACGGGAGAGGTGACTAGAATGGTCATGTTGGCTTGTTTGTTGGATTTCAGAAAGACTATATGCCGAAATGGTCCTGCCTCCCAACTGTCCTGCCTGTCTGATCCTTATTTGATAGAACCATTGGTATTCATTGGAATGATTGATTGGTCTAGACTATTTTTAGTCACGTAAAATATTAGACTAAGACTTAGTGATAATGATACTAGGCTACGTCAAAGAAAAACTCAGATGCTAGAAGCAAAACATTATCCAAGTTTCGAGGCATCACTTTAACAAGTGAGTGCATGGTTACTTTCATCTTACACATAGATATAGAGTATTTAAGATAATTACATGCTATATGTGCCTAATATATGTGTTCCTGATATCTATGTTAGATGAACGATGTATACATGTTTTATTTGATTTAAACTGTATATGTATTTTTATACTGATAAATATATTGGTTAGAGATGGGTAGATGAAAGATGAAATAGATGAGAGGGGCCTCGACTTTTTGGTACGACAGGTACTTGATGTTGAGTCATCTAGCGGAATATAGATGACGAACACTAACTATTCTAGACAGTCCAGTGGAACGCTAACAGACTCACAACCTGTATGTATTTTTTGAACTAAGTGTTCACCAGGTGTACTCCAGCCCCCCAAGGTTGCCTTATTGACATATATTGCTAAGGAATCCCCTAAGCATTATTGTCTATCTCGAAGATGATCCTTAGGATAGGTTCCTTAAATTAGATGCTTTAGGGACAGAAAGTGAGGATAACGGGAATAGGTAATCGGTTTGAATGATTTGAAGAAAATATATAATTAAAAGAATTTACTTATTGTGGGGTGAAAACCTTATGTGCTCAACAGGGTCTCAAGCCTGACCCACTCAGTTTCTTGTATTATAGGTAGTGGCACGAGAGCATATGTGTAATGGTTAGATGATAGATTTATGGATTATAGGCGAGTAGAGTAATAGATGTTTGTAAGGCCTGTATTATTTTCGTTTATGCTTATGTATTGTATTGACGATTACATTCCAAAGTTGTTAATATAAATAAAATACATTTCTTCGGAAATGTTTTAATAATATAATTATCATGTTTTTTGTAAGAAATTCCGCAATATTATTCTTCAAAAATGATACTCTGATTCTAAATAAGCATAAATAAATCGGCCTTTTCTGGCCGTGAAATTGGGGATGTGGCACCATCTTCACAAGTATGAATCCCACATCCATGGCTTTGACCTTTTGACCATTCACCGAAATAAGCATCTCCAGTGTAGAATCTATACATACCAAATCCATATCTCAATCCTTTCCTATACTGAGCTTTATATCGGCTTCCCCTGATCTGTTTGTGAGGTGTTGATCTAGGAGTCGGTCTGGCAACTGAATCATAATCAAAATCACCTCCATCGATTAGATTTGATGCTCATAATTAGGGCTGGTTGAAATCAGAAGATGAAGAACATAGTGAAGAACCGTCATCGATCAAGATTTGATGTTCATGATCAAGCGACCCTATCGATAACAAAGAAGACGAAGAACATATTGAAGAACCAGAAGAATGTTGATTGAAATCAGAAGAGACACCACTGCTTTCTTTTCCGATTTGAACCTCTGATTTCTTGTGATGCAATTCATACGTGATTAGGTTTTTTTTTTCCTAAAACAAGAAGTTTAATAGTTTAATAGTTTTTTTTGAAACGACAACTATCCTACTCTTAATCTGATCCTAAACACCACTTATGTCTCCTAGTGAGACTTGAACCCATGACCTCTCATTTGAAAGAGTCATTCCTTACCGCTAGGCCAAAGGCCCTTTAGTGAGAGTTTAATAGTTAGCTTGACATATTAAACATGCTGAATAGGAAGGATTCACCGGATGATCCCCTTCATTTTTTCCACAAGGACTTTTTAAACACTAAAAAGATGAATTCGTAGGCTTAAAAAGCAAAAAATTAAGATGAGGGACCTTTTAAACAAAAACACATAAGTTTGTTGATGTATTAGGTAGTGTTTGTTTTTTGTCTGCAGATCTGCGTGACCTCTTCTGTCTGCGCCGCGCAGACCACGCGCAGACATTAACATTCGCAGACTGTTTGTTTTTTTGAAGACTGCAGACCTAAAAATGTCTGCGCGCCCTCTTCTTGGCGCAGATGTAGACCAGGGTCTTCTAACATCTTCAGACATCTTCTAGCCTAAAAAAACATATATATCTTTATTTTTTTAAGTTTTTTTTTAATTTATATTTTTTTCCAACTTTATTAATGATAAACAATTTGAAAAAAAAATTACAAAACTTAAAAAAAAAACATTCGACGATACAAACATGATATTTTTGACAAATTTATAAATAAAGATTTATTACAATAATAGTCGTTGAAGTTGTTTATATAAATATGAAAAAAAATCATAATATATTCTTATATTTTTTTGTCAAATTTTGTAAAACATTATTTAATACAGTATCATCAATTTCTCGAGAAAATATTTATGGTACATTTTTAATGGATTTAATTAAAAAAATTGAAGTTTATTTCCATCTAGTTATGTATCAAATTCTTTGATCACTAATTATAATGTTTAGTTATAACTTTGCAACCAAAGTTATTGGTTTTTATCAAATATATACGTTAATTCATACCATTTTTATTTTTATTTTATATACAATAATACATAAAAGTTGTTCTAGATTCGTTAATTATTTATAACAAAGTCATAAAAATATTAAAAAATCACTTTGAAATTTGAAAAAATTAATTTATTTAGATTTCAGTTTATTTTAGTAACCCGCAGATGTTAAAAAAAAACAAACAGTCTTCTTTTTTCAGACTGCAGACGTTTGGTCCACCTCTTCTACTGCAGATGTCTACAGATGTGGTCCGCAAACTGCAAACATTTTGCCTCATAAAAAACAAACAGCACCATAGTGACAATAACCCTTATTAATTTGGCTAACAAACTTTTTGCCAAAATAGGACAAACGAAAAACTAACAGGGGATCAAACTAGAATACTAGAAGGTTTGTGGTAGTTTTTGTAACTATTCCATCAAAAGGGGTGACATGCAAACAAATCTCACTCATCGAGGGAAAACCCAAAACCCTAATTTACTTTTTCGTCCACAGACAGAACGTGCAGAAATGGTGGTGAGGCTGAGATTGGCGAGGTTGGGATGCCGGAACAGGCCATTTTACAGAGTAATGGCTGCCGATAGCAGATCTCCGAGGGACGGAAAGCATATAGAGGTCTTGGGTTACTTTAATCCTTTGCCAGGTTCTTCGTTCTTTCTTGATTTCTTATATTTTCTGATAATATTGACTAATTCTAATGTGTAACCATCACGGGATTTGATCAGAACCTATTAATATCTGATTTTCAACATGAACTTCTCGAATCTCAAGGGCAAGATTAAACCTGAATGTTTGTATACGTCAATTGCGAAACAGTCTAAAGATTAATAGATGATAAACTTTCAAGATTTGGACCAAAATTGGGTTCTTTCGGTTGGGATTATTTTCAGTTAATGGTATTTGGAGTTGCGATTGATTGAAACAGGACTCTTCCTTGAAATGATTTCTTATGGTGTTTGAATGTGCATTTTTGAAGCAATTGTTATGACTCCAAGAATCATAATTAGATAATTAGATAACCTGTTGATTAAAGTTAGATTATATATTTATGTCGTTAATTGTTGGTTAATTCCCTTGTTAACGCAGGCCAAGATGGTGGTAAACGAATGGGGCTTAATTTTGAGCGAGTGAAGTAAGTTACTTGGTATACCATTTTCTTATTAATTTTTCTTAATATTGATAAAATTTCCTTATTTATATATGAAACAAAAATAAATTGGTTTTTGTGGTTGACCAATTTGCGATGATCTGTTGATGAAAAAGAAGAAATTCGGTTTATTATAGCATCCAATTTTCATTTCTTTTTCCTATTACAACATTGTATTATCAATTTTTATTCATAGTAACACATTGTACTTTGAATGTTTTTCTCATCTATAGCATTGTACTTAATGAAAGTAGGTTGCTATAAATCTATAATAAAACAAATATATGAAAGTAGGTTGCTATATTTTGCATCTAACCATTTTATGTGTTACAGATACTGGCTATCGGTTGGTGCACAACCCTCGGATCCGGTCCAACGTTTGCTATTTAGGGCGGGGATACTGCCGCCACCACCCATGGTGGCAATGGGGCGGAAAGGTGGGCCCCGTGACACACGTCCGGTGGACCCGCTGAGTGGACGTGTCATGATGCCTGACCTACCAACCAAACCTAGTATTGAATCCGGTGATCAAGAAAATAAATCTTAAACTTCGTGAAGAGAAGAAAGATATGGTGGTAGTTTTAGGTTGTTGGGTTGGTGTTTCTGGTTATAAACATTTTGTAGTGATATGAAAATCATACGAGGGATAAATTGAATCTTTGGTTTTAAAGATTGTGTAGCAAACGATCTATTATGTTGATTTGAATTACTATGTTAAGGTGGCATTCTTGTTACAAGGAGTTTGCGTAGTTATATGATAAACTTGATGTCTCTGGGTGATATTAAATATAGGGAAAATTTCATATATATTCTTCCAAACTTTAAGAATTACGTCAATGTCCTTATAAAATATTAAATTACGTATATGTCATTTAAAAACTATAACATATTTATCCAACCCTATTTTTTAATAAGAATTATAGGATTTTAATATTAAAAAAATTATATAAAATTCAAAACTATATATAACTTTACCAAAATACCCTTTACAATTAAATTCAAAATAATTTTAATCAATTAAACGTGTAACTAATAATTCAATTCAAGGCCTCTTTCTCTTTACTCAATCGATTCATACACCATCATTTTCACCGTTTACCTCACCTTCTTCTCTCCTATACCCTCTATCGACGACCATCACCTATAAATCATTGTTGCCTTCATGCCAAGATACTTTGAAAATCCAATTCGACGACAACTCTTCATCGCTGTGAGCTAGGCACAACCTCCTCTGTTCACGACAAAATCACTGTAACCCACGATTTCCCCCCTCCTATTGTCACCGATTACTACCAATTGAAACGTCACCCCTTAGCCGAAGATGTGTCTCAACCCCAATTTCATCGGCTTCCCCTGCTGCAGTAAACATAAAATCCCAAGGCAAAACTCGGATTCTGATCTCCCTGTGATTTGGTGCTGTTAAGGTTTTGCATTTGTACCCAATTTCCTACTTTGTTGGTTTGGATCGTCTTTCCTGGTTTCAAAATATCAAAATTATTGTTTGAATGTTTTAGGGTATATATTAGCTTAGGATCCCCGATTCCTGACACGGAAAAAGTTTTCACCCTGAGGTCTTAATGTTATCTTTGAAGTTGGAGACTGTATGTTAGTTGGATTACAGGTGATTATTCATTCTTCTCTTCTAAATGCTCATAAGATGTACACCCTCATAAGCAATAACCAACAATAAAGTGAAATAGACATTATGAGAAAGAACACTTGCTGAATTGAATGAAATTCATAGTGGAACCCACATTTGACTAAACTGCCCCTCCCTTATTTCTCCTGTTGTAAGAAAATTTTTCAACATGCTTTCAGTTTTACACAGGTAAGAGAAAAAGATAGAATCTTTTTCTTTTCTTTATATTTTGCTTAAATGTTATGTTACAATATGTGTGGTACAATCGATTAACAAACCATATTGCCGTTGTAAAGTGAACCGGTCAAAAAAATTTGGTATTGTTTGGTGTGAATTGAAAAGATAAATAAATTCCATTTTCTTCACTTTCTTTACTTAGCCAAAGGGTATTACTTTGTCATTACATCATCCAATTACAAAACTTTATATTCATATATTGTTGATCTCTTTACAATGGAAAAATGAGTTTTTAACCTTTTAACCATCTATTGTCTATAAAGAGGATGTGTTGTTTAAAAGTTAATACGTAATCTACATTGTTTCAAGTGGCTACCTAGTTAACTCTAGCTATAATTCTGGTCTTCCATCCCTATGCAGGTACTTTATAATTATATGTGCAAGTTCTGCACTTTAAGCTACAAGTAGATTGTTATCATGACATGTCAATCTTAGTTGATGCAAAAGAGTGATGCTTTTGAGGTAGGGTGCTAATTCTATCCGGATTAAGAAACCGTATCATAAGTAGAGTGATATATTGGAAACACCAATACAAGTAGACTGCTTCTTTTGAAAATCCAAATAATAAAAGGCAAGCAAATGATTTTTATTTCAAAGGATGATGCTAAAGTGTTGGTGTTGTTGCTGGTCTTTTCTTAAAGATTCTTTATATTATGTTCATCTAATTTATGTAACTTTTTGTTATCTCTATATTGTAACTTTCTTGTTGCTGTTAATACTTAATGCATTTTAGCCATTCAAAAATTAAGTTTGGTGTCATTTCATTATTTACCCTCCAAATTCATATATTTCATGTTGTTGTTCTATGGTTACTGAAATAGTAATTTACAATACAAAATGGTCCCTGTTTCAAAAACAAAGTTACAAAATTGCTCTTTATGGCACAAAAAAAACAGAATTGGTCCTGTAGCATGTTAACATTGCCGATATGGTCCCTATGGCAAAAAAAAAAAGAAAAAAAACTTGACAAAATGATTCCTGTGCACAAAAACATTAAAAATTTGGTCCATATTTAAGAAAAAACATTACACATATGGTCCCTGTTTCAGAAAAACATTACATATATAGTCCCTGTTTCAGAAAAACATTTAAAATGGTCTTGTGCGCAAAAACGTTACAGATTTGGTCCATGTTTCAGAAAAAACATTACACATATGGCCCCTGTTTCAGAAAAACATTACAGATATAGTCCCTGTTTCAGAATAACATTTAAAAATGGTCTTTTGCACAAAAAATTACTGATTTGGTCCATGTTTTAGAAAAAAAAATACACATCTGGTCCATGTTTTAGAAAAACATGTTTTAGAAAAAACATTACAAATACAGTCCTCGTTTCAGAAAAAATTAAAAAATGGTCCTTGTGCCCAATAAAAATGGTCCCCCATTGGAGAAATACATTACATAAACAGCCCCTATGACATAATATATTTACAAAATGGTCCCTATGACAGAAATAGATGACAGATGCAGTCCCTATAGCAGAAAATGTTTATATAAATGGTCCTTGTTGGAGAAAATACATTACAAAAACAATCCATGTGGAATAAATTCATTAAAAACATGCTCCAAAATTAAAAATAAAAATAAAAAATCCATGCAGAAAGCATTAAAGTACTAAAATGTAATGAACATCATAACAAAAACTCATGATATTTTGTGCTCTTTCCTCTTGCTAGAGGATGCTTCATCAAAACCTTGAGACGCGGGATTTTTGCAAGTCCTTTGATGGTGTCCACACATACCACAACGCGGACATCTGTGTCTTTTCTTGGGCTCATCATGTGGTATAATTCTATTCTTTTTAGGTCGTCCAGGCGGTCGTTTTATAATAGGAGGGTACATTTTTTCGACTGTCTCTATATTCACCCATTGATCTTTTCCAGGCATCGGACTAATTTCTAAAGCATATGCTTCTTTAAACTTGTCGACTGTGAAATATGTATCAACATATTTGTCCCAATTAGGCTCCCTTGTGAAAGCAATAAAAGCAACTGCATGCACACACGGAAGGCCTGTAACTTGCCATTTCGACAACTACACTTTTTCTCATCCAATACAACATCCCAATGATATCCTTTGTACTTCACTTCTGCTTTATTATCACTGCTTCTACAAACTTGATATTCACCCAAGTTCTACATGAGAAAATAAAAAAAGAACAAACTAATATCAGGAAAAATATATATGTTTAATGCAAAAACAATTATGTATATATATAGTTCGTTAACTTGCCTTAGTGATTGTTTTGAGATACTTATTTGCTTTTGGAAGTAGTGGTCCTTTCCATTTTTGCACCTTACTAATTTTCTTTTCAAATCGTTCCATAAGCTTTTCTCTAATTGCATCAAGGAGATCAAGCACCGGTTTATAACGTATGTCACCTACCCAAGAGTTAAAAATTTCTGAAATGTTGTTGGTAATGTAATCACACTTGACAAGTGTGCCAAACTTACTTCTACTCCATATCTTTTTATGGTTCTCATTCAAATATGAAATTGCATCTGCACATTTAGTAGCAATTTCATTTAATAATCTATCATGCTTACTAACAGAGTAGGTATTTGCAGCCTCCCATAGTTTGCTCATGAAAAAGTCACCTCGAAAATGTTTCTTGAAGTTGCTATATAAATGTCTTATGCATTCTCGATGCTCAATATTAGGATAAACCTGTGTAATAGCTAATTCCAAGCCTTTTTGCATGTCAGAAGAGATAACAAGACCATTTGGTGTACCAATCGCTTTTTTTAGTGACGCGAGAAACCAAGTCCATGATTTTGTATTCTCTGCCTCAAGCACACCATAGGCTACTGGAAACATACCATTGTTACCGTCGATACTTGTGGCAGCGGCTAACACACCATTAAATTTCCCTTTCAAATGACAAGCATCAAGCCCAATGTAAGGACGACAACCAGCAAGAAACCCCTTAGAGCATGTTGTTAATGATATAAAAAAGCGTAGGAAATGTTTCTTTTCACCAACTGTCTGTAAATCAATCTCCACCACACTTCCTGGGTTTCTTTTTTCAAGTTCTTTTTTGAAATCATATATATTTGCATAAGAGTCATCCCACTTGCCATACATATCGATATAAGCTTGTTCTCTTCCTCTAAAGACTCTCATATATGGTACTTCAACATTGTAGGTATGCATAAGCTACTTTTTTAGGTTGGCAGGAGAGACATCGCCTTCAGATTTCAACTTGTCAGTAACAACATCAGCAATCCATCCTTGAGTGGCATGTTTGTTACCACTCTTGTTGCTTTGAGTACAAGAATGAGTTTCTATAAATTTTTTTACCTACAAAATTGAAAAAAAAAACATATAATTATGTTAACATAATAACAATATCGACGAATGTAGTATTTCTCAAAATTTATACTTACTTCAAAAGTAACCCCATCTTGTGTAAGAGAAGCATGAATTCTCCACTTGCACTTTTTATCTCCACAACATGCTGTAAGTCTTGTCAAATCACTTTTCTCAATGACATACTCAAATTCATTTGTTAGTGCATAATGGTTTAATGCTCTTCTAAAAGCAATTACACTTGGGAATTTAGAATTCACTTTCATAAATGGATTCACCTTACTATATGCATAAGTTTCCCCATAATTTAGAAGCTCATATTCGTTATCGGAACTATGAGGACTATGATAGCTTTCTTGACTTGGACAAACTGAGTCTGTCTCATTTTCATCATCAGATTCATCAATAACTTTATCTTGGCAACTTAACGGTTTAGGGTTATACCTTAATTTTTCGGTTGTTGCATAAATTGTTACTTCTTTCTCCTTATCATACATGTTTAGCATCACCATGAAGCTCTTATCATTATCAAGTTCAATAAAGCATTGCTCTTTTGCATATTTGTCAACAAATACTATTGACAAAACAATATCGCTTTGTGATGGATAGTGTTTTTTCACCTCTTCAACTAGATGATTTAAGTCGTATGAAAATGTGTCTATATAGAGACATTTTGTAGATCCAAAGCAATACACTTGCCTACATGAGTTCCTAGCTAATCGAAAGAAGCCTCCATATTTCAATTTAAACTTGAATTCCGATATTACTTGTCTGATGACCGCAAAAAAAAAAACAATTAATAAAATTGAAGGGAAACATAAAGTATCATTCATTGTTGATAAAAACTTACTCAATTATGGGCGAGTGAGCACTTATGTCCCATCTCGGTGCATCAACCTCATTATCCATCAAAGAGGAGGATAATAAACTATCTATTGCAAACCAAACATAATTGAATGCAGAGCCAACAATTAATCGAATTAATCGAATGCAAAAAGTTAATCAAAAACCAAAATTAATTGAATTAAGAACAAGATTAACCTGTTGTGATGAAATAACGTGATTTATTACTATGTTTGTAGCAACGATATTTGAATAAACGAAGGCAAAAGTTCTCACGGCTTGAAGAAGAAAACAACGTGATGAAAGCCTTGAAGATTTCACGTTTTTGAGGTTTAGTTTTGACGTGTTTGAGGTTTTGACATATTTAATTAGGGTTAATGCTAATTAAGTCTATTTAGTTCTACTATTAATAATTTTGAAAGGGTAATTTAGTACAATCACCTTTTATTTTGATTTTTAAATATATTTTTTGGTATTAAATTGATTAATACCTCATTAAATTATAAGATTTGATATAAATGTGATTTTAATAGGTTAATAAGGATATATACGTAATTATGAACTTTGAAAGGATATAGACGTAATTCTTAATGTTTGCGAGGACATATGTGAAATTTTCCCTTAAGTATAAATAAATTTGAGTATTGAAACCTGTTTTGTTCTTTCTCATTGTTGGTAACCGGTTCTTTGTTCCGATAAACGTGAGTTTTCACTGACGATATTTGACAAGGCTGGCGTGGTGCTGACATGGCGAGGGGGCCAAGACTTGCACCCTGCCCCTCTTGTGTGGTTCATTGTTGGCATGACCAAACATGGTCTCAACCACGATTTACAACGCAAGAAACAAGCAAAAAAAAAACCTGTTTAATTGTTTTATATTTTCCTTACAAATATTAACCAATTAACAACAATACTTCCATACTATGGTCTTTCATTCTATACTCTCTAAACTTTATATTTTCTCATCTGTTTTTTTACTCAAACAATGAAGCAAAACCCAAACACACCACCACCTAACCCAAACCCGACACCCTAGACCAAGATAAGACAGTCAACTCATGCTAAACAAAAGACCTAGACGAATCCCATGTTTCGATTCATGGAGTGGTAGCTTCATGAATATGCTACAAAGTTCACCAATTCAACATCAAAACTTTTTTCAGCAACCATTTCAAAAACACTTTTTTCCAACAATGCTATCTACCTAATCCTTAGAAACAACCAATCTAATTCTCACAACTCCCATTCCAACTAAACACCTTCCACAAACAATAATTTCTAGCTTCTCCATCCCAACCTTCTTAATGACAACAAGAGCATGAATCCGTATTAGATTCGGTATCCAAAGCTTAATCAGAGGAACAACCCAAAGCTTCAAAAATAAGAGGTAAAAAAAAAAAAAAAACGACGACACAAAAAGGTACTAGGACTTGGTCCAAAGCCAAGGAAGCTGCATTAGCATGTGTATGATATTCGTCTCCTAAGATAACGTTATCAGGAAGACGGACAGGAACCACCAAAATTCGCCAAAAGTCTTGGCAGAGAATTTTAGATCATTTCCACACAGAAATGAAAAAGAGAGTTTATCAAAATAACAACTCTTTTTCCCAAATGACACTACTTGAGAGCTAGTTGCACCAAATTCAATTGTTTTTTTCAACATTCTTAGCAATATGTATAAAAGTGGAAGGAATGATTTTGATATCTTAACTAACGCTGTCCAACAATATCATAACGATAACAATGGTAAAACATTTACCCATCACAAGGCATGAGAAGTTCTCAAAATGGATCCAAAATGAGCACTTTAAGCGGATATACTTACATAATCAACCAGATCCAACAAACAATTCAAAACGTCCGAATCAAACGACTACACACAAACTTTGGATGCATGTACATAAATCGACCTCAACAATGATGTTGAAGAGATTTTAGCTAAAGAGCCCATCCAAACGACCTAGAAGAGATAAAGAAAAACGAAAGCAAAAGCAACCAAATAACTTAAACTTTTTTAAGGAAAAGTTTGAAGAACATCTTAATTGCAAAAGCAAAACATGGAGCTTTAAAAGGAAAGCAAGATTTAAACAAGAACTCCTACATGATATATATAAGTGTTAAGATGTCGATTAATGATGTTGCGCCGCCGTGGACCTCGAAACGATGTTAGCGGTGATGTAGAATGGTGAATAATTTTATTCAACTTTAATGCAATTTTCATTTATGCAATTTATATTTAAATAATTAAAAAGTTAAAAGTGATGGTATGTGAAGTGAAAGTGATACGTATTTCGTAGATAAATGGTGGAAAAATAAGAAAAAGAGAAGGGGATATGAATTCTTTTGTTGTGTTTGGAAAGTTGACAGCTGTCCAAAGTCCAAACTATTGAAAGAAAACCGATTTTTCAAAGACTCCGAAGTCCAAAATAAAAATTCGAACCAAATAAACTCCTTGGTCCTTTCTCTCAAAGTCTCAACATCCATTCAGCCATTATTGGTTAAAGCCCAAAAGAATGGGAACTTTGATCCATAATTATCGTTTAAGCCCCTCGAACTTTGTCACTCCAACGATAAATTGCTACCCATCAGATTTTCGTCTTAAGCAGGCTCTACTTGTCCAACAAGTAAGCTATTGGAATCGTTGCAAAAGCAGAGAAGCTAAGATGTCCGCGGCCGTCGCTGCTACCGGCGACGCTAATTCCACCCACACTGAGCAAAACCCAGGTGAGTTTCCGCCGACCAGTAACCGATTAGTTTAATTGATCAAAAGTGAATCAACTCGGATAGAATAATGCGAATTCGATTATAAGATTTTGGGGTTTTACATTTTTTTTTCAGGAATCCGTCAGCAGAAAATAGTTTTACGAAACAACCATGGGGAGAAACTAGTGGGTCTATTGCATGAAACTGGATCCAGAGAGATTGTAATATTGTGCCATGGATTTCAATCAACCAAGGTTTGCCACACTCGGGACACTTTTACTCATCATCTTCCAGTTATTTTTCTTATGGTTAATTGGCCCTATAGCAACCAATTAAACCAGTAAACTAACATGTTTATGTCAAATATGTGACTATTGATTACTGGTGGCTATACATGAAATCAAATCCGATTTTCCTTGATCAATCTCACATGCTTAGATGAATTCTTTAGTTGGAAATCTATCCTTATCGAAATTGATCTATACTCCTTTAAGAATCTCAGATGTTCGTAGTTTCATCACGACAATCATTGACTTCTCATTGATGGTTTGTTTACTCAAGATCCAATTGAGACCATGAGAAATTGGTTTTGCCTTGTGATTTAAGATCAGTGGAGTGAATTGTTGTGGCAATTTCAAAATTCGTTATTGATTCTTGATTTTGTATTGTATGTATGTAGGAAACAAATACCATGATAAACCTTGCTTCTGCCCTGGAGAAAGAAGGGATCACTGCATTTCGTTTTGATTTTGCTGGAAACGGGTAAGTTTCAGTATCAAAAGACAACTGCAATTCATCAGAGATAATATATGCTAATGGGAACTACAAGAATACAAGATTATTGCAATTTGAAGCAACTGTAAAATTACCTAAACACCCCTAACAAAAAGCAACTGATTATCTGCTTCTAATCTTTTATTCACATTAAATAGCATATGTTTTGTTTCAGGGAAAGTAAAGGAACATTTCAATATGGCAACTATTGTAGAGAGGCTGATGACTTACATTCAGTAATCCAACACTTTTCTGAAGCTAATCGTGTCACAAGTGCAATCCTTGGACACAGTAAAGGTATACTACACATTACACATGGAAAAAGACATAAACGCCCTTCTAATCCTCACCATATCTTATTCATTGTAGGTGGGAATGTGGTGCTCTTATACGCCTCCAAGTATCATGACATACACTGTGTCATCAACGTATCAGGGCGTTATAAAACAGAAGGTGGTGTGGAAGAGCGATTGGGAAAAGGGTATTTGGAGAAAGTAAAAAAAGATGGTTTTATCGATGTTAAAGCCAAAACCGGTATATCTGAAACTTTCGTGCCAAATTTGCAATAACCATAATCTAGTGGACTTAAAACGTAAATACTATTTTTTTCATGTGTAGGGGAGGTCTTGTATCGTGTGACTGAGGAAAGTTTGATGGATCGTTTGAATACAAATATGCATGAAGCATGTTTGCAGATCGATAAAGATTGCAGGTAACACATAAAGTGGTTGAATGGGTAATGATGTCAGTCTGTTTCTTTTCTAGACTAAATGACCATTTTATCCTTACATTCAAATCTTTTGTGGGATGTTTTTGCAGGGTGTTGACAGTTCATGGATCCAGTGATTCAATTGTGAGAGTTGCAGAGGCATTGGAGTTTGCAAAGATTATACCAAACCACAAGTTACATATCATTAAAGGAGCCAATCATGGATTCTCCAAACATCAAAATGAATTAGTTTCGGTTGTTTTGTCTTTCATAAGAGAATGTTCGCATCATAGCCAAGATAATGCAAAGTAAAGGTAGGTGAAGTAGGCTCCATTTTTGGGATTTCACTCGGGCATACATTGTTTTTTAAATGCTATGTTTTGTTTGTTAGACTCGATGAAGATTGGGCATACAATGTTTTTTTTTTTTTTTTGGTTATTTTAATGATGAGGATGAGAAGGGTACTCATGTCTTTTGCATGTATTACAACCGAGAACAAATTATTGATGCCGAGGTGTTTGAATATATGTCTAAAGTGTTTGTTAGATTTGAAGTTGTGATAACTTACTTATGTTTTGTGGAAAATGGTTCTAGTTTTATTTTATTTGGAAAATAAGATACAAAGATAAGCTGATTTATTAAGATAATCAAGATTATTTTTAACCTCAACCAACAAGATTTTGAATTCCTTAAATCATAATAATTATTTTGTAAAATTACATCCAAACACTACACGTAATTACTATCATAAAAAGATGCAATTTACAAATTTGGACAGATGTGGTTAAGCCCTAAATCTAACCGATTAAGAGACATTTTAGAAGAGCAAGACCAGACCTAATAAAATAAATAAAAGACATCAAACAACCAATAAAATGTGTTTGCTTTTTGTCTATATTTGGTCTAAGAGCATCCACACCGGTTCTTTCAAACCAAATTGCAAAGCCACGTACTCACTATTTGAAAGCCACGTAGGAAGACTTCTTTCAACTGCTGAAAGGGCATTGCAAGGGGACCCACAATACTTTAATTAATTTATTATATTATTTTACTGCCACATATCCCTCTTATCTCCTTGCAATTATTTTTAATTTCAAATGGCTGTATAATTAAGTAATTGTCTATGCTTTTCCTTTTATGACTTCGTCAAGATTTTGATCTTTTTATTTATTTATTTATTTATTTTTTTTATGTTTAGTAACATAACTATACATTATATCATATTATTAAATTCATTAAATTTGTTAAATATAAACATGAACTTTTTTTTACCATTAACTTAAAAAAAAATTGTAGGGATACTTTTCAAAATAGATAAACAAAAATAACTTTTAAGATATATATATATATATATATATATATATATATATATATATATATATATATATATATATATATATATATATATATTATTGTTGATGTGTCAGTGGGGGCCACTTTTGAAAGAGTGTTGATATTTCATTGATGTGAGTGTTTATTGCAAATGGTGATATGGTATTGCACACGATGATGTGGTACAATTGAAAGATGATTGGTATTGCACTGATGTGGATGATCATGAAATTATAAAAGAAATGGTAGAATAATTTGCATCCTTTAAGTTGGTTATGATGTATAATACTATTATTATATAAACAATAAAAAATATATTGAGATTAAAATATGCATCACCAAAAAAAAAAAAAAAAAAACATATTCGTTTGGAGAAGTCCAACGTTTAGGAGCATAAAAAGTCAACATGTGCCTGCAGGACTTTATAGTTTATAGTTTACGCAGGATAATACTATTTGGAAAGAGTGAATGGGGAGCTTGATCCAAAAGGTTTATTTTATACACTCAAATTTGATAAATACTTCCAAAACTTCCTGTTTATCAGATTCTCCATTCAAACAAGCCATACGAATCAATCACCACTCACACACTCTCAACAGTAGAACAAACAGAATCAGTCTGCAGATGGCCGCCGGCGACTCCACCACCACCACCTCCGTAAACGTCGAGCAAAACCAAGGTCGGTTTTCGATTTTCAGGCAATCTTTGCGTACACCCATTTCAAATTTACTCTAATTGCACTTGCTTTTAGGGTTAATTTCTGAATTGATGATTAGCACATCCTTTGGACACATTTGCTTCATATATTACTAGATTACGTCTTGTCCCCATTAAGTTCATCAAATAGAATAGATACAACACCTATTTTCTCATTTCAATCTCTAATTGCATATATTATGTTGGATTTGGGGCATTAGAGGGATCTAGTTATGTATCTTCTCCTTTTACATTAATCAAATATATGGGAATTAGCATTAAAGATAATTGCAATCCTCTCTCATTATTTCAGGGTTTGAACTGCAAAGAATAATCATACAAAACAAACACGGAGAAAAACTTGTGGGTTTGTTACACGAAACAGGGTCTAAAGAGATTGTAATCATATGCCATGGCTTCCAATGCACAAAGGTATGATATGAGCTTCTTTTTGACCACTTTTCATGTTCAAGTTTTATAATATTTAGGTAAATAACAAGAATATCATATCAAAGTAAAAACATATAGGTTATAAAAAAATAGCAAGCTTTAGTTAGCTCCACATGGAAATAAACAACAAGAAGATTGCATAAAAAAAAATCACCATTTAGCTGCTGCAGCAACAAAAAGACATACAATTCATCGCCTTATATTGAATTTTGTTGGAACTCATGAAATCCTTTGATCAATGTATTCCAACTTTCCATCCTAAAACCCATGGAATTCAGTTCACAACATTTACTTGTTGTTCAAAAATACTTAAATATCTTTTTAACACTACAATTTCACAAGTATTGATTTTGTGGATGATTCATTGTGACTTGTAAGTGTGTTCTTGTTTCTAGGAGTATAGTATGATGGTGGATCTTGCACTTGTATTGGAAAAAGAAGGAATTACTGTATTTCGCTTTGATTTTTCAGGAAATGGGTGAGTCCATCATTTTACACAATACATTTTTTTTTTGATTCTTTTTCCCTTGGTTTGAAAGTGGAAAATGATACATTTTGACTTTCAAGGTCAAATAGGCTTATTATCAACTTCTAAGCGGGTATGAATCATCTTAGTTGCAAGAAATTGTTTAATTACACTAAAGTTGATTAAAAAAAGATACAATTAGAAACACTTTGTTATAGAATTTGAAGCTAAATGCAAGAAATTGCAACATAAATTTCATTTACTTGTTGTGTATTTCAGCATCCAACTTTTGTTTCTTTCTATTCCAGCATCATACTTTCCAATTTACATTTTTCTTAAGGCATTGTACTTTGAAAAATCTACCAAATTATCGCATTCTACTTTCAAGATTTTTATTTTTTTTATTACGAAATTTACTTCAAATATTTTATCCAAACATAACAATGAAAATTGCTCTGTATATGGATCACATTGCTATAATCCGGTAGATTTTTCAAATTACAATACTATTTTACAATAAACAAACAAATAAAATTACTTTGCTTTTCTTGCATTTAACCCTACAATTTGTATCCAAATCACTATCAACATAACATATTTAAACTCTCAAGTTAAAATGCGTCTCTTTTTTGTTCATTTGGTCCAATAGTAATAATTTGTCGTATTCCAGTGAAAGTGAAGGCTCATTTGAATTTGGAAACTATCGTAAGGAGGTCGATGACTTAAAAGCAGTAATCCAACACTTCACTGCAGCAAATCGTGTTATAACTTCAATTATTGGACACAGTAAAGGTAAAAAATGTTTCTCATCAAGTGTCATCCAGATAAATAATGTTTAAAAACAATTTGATAACTTGACTTCACACTTGAGCAAAATGGAAGTAAAAAATAAACGAAGACAAACTTGTAAAAAGTTTAAGACTTAATGGAGAAAGCCTCCTTTCTCTGACTTTTTCTATCTAGTTGTTCTTTCTGTATTAAGTTCAAAAGAAACACTTTTTACAGGTGGAAATGTGGTGGTCTTATATGCATCTTTACATCACGATATCAAGACAGTTGTCAACGTGTCTGGTCGCTATAAGATGGATAGGGGCATCGAGGAGAGATTAGGAAAAGATTATTTAGAAAGAGCAAAAAAAGACGGATTTATTGACATCAAATCCAAAACAGGTTATAACCATTTACAATTATGATAAAACACAAACACAAATGACCCTTATCATGCAGAATTACAATTATTTTTATTAAATTGTAGGAGAAGTTTCGTTTCGTGTGACTGAAGAAAGTCTGATGGAACGTCTGAATACAAACATGCATGAAGCAGGACTTAAAATCGATAAAGATTGCAGGGTGTTGACTGTTCATGGATCAGTTGATGAGGTCATCCCAGTTGAAGATGCCATGGAGTTTGCCAAGATTATACCAAACCATGAGTTAAAAATCATTGAAGGGGCTAACCATGGTTACAACAAACACAGGGACGAATTATGTTCGGTTGTTGTGGATTTCATAAAGGACTAGTTGTCCTAACAGAAGGAGGTGAGAATCCATAAGTGAAATCTCAGGCTAAACTATAAAATAGTTATATAACTATTTTATAGTTCATTTTGTGGTGTTTTGAGACTTTAAGCAATTCCTGTTGTTTATTGTATAGTTTGTTCGGAAACAATGATGAATCATGTATTTGAGCAAAGATTGTACTTGACTTTAGTGAATGTCATGTTTTTGGGATGTTGAATTAAAGGTATTTAGTTATGTAGCTATTCTCCTATCCCCTTCTTGAACGTAGGAACAACCATCCACAATTCCACAAAATAGGGCTTGAAATTTATGGAGTTTTGGAAGGAAAAATTCCTATCAAGAGTTGTTCCTTATATCGAAATGAAGAACTGTCAGGAAACCAGACGACAATTGTCAAGAATCAGAAATCTTTTGCCGTTTGCCAAGATTTGATGACCTTTGTTAGGAAGTAATGTGGATAACACACGAAACAAAAAGCAAACAAAGACACAATATTTACATAGTTAAGTCAATGTGACCTACGCCCATGGGTAGGAGGGGAGTATTCTTTATTCACAAAGTTCTCAAACAAAGGGTACAAGTACAATTCAATAGATATTCACCCTATTCACTAAGGATACAATAGACACTTAACAAATGACTAGCAGACATCCCTATTTATAGACTAGGGATCAGACCTCAAACCCTAATGGGTCAAGCCCATTAATCCATAGTCCCATGAAAGGAGTTAACCAATCACAATCCACAAGACAACTGCTTCTAAAACCTTCATCATTGAGAGACATTGCATTGACACCATCAATACACCACTGGATCATCAGGTGTCATTAAGTGGCACCTCCTGTCACTTTGTGACACTTCCAGTGCATGACACTTCGTTGAGTTGCCATGACGACACATCATGTGCCATGAAGTGGCACCTCCTATGCATGTCCTTGAGCATCTTCAACTTCTGAGCATTCTTGCACAATCTTGAGAATCATAGTGTACATCATAGCATAAGTGGCACATCAAGGGATGTCATGGCACATCAGGAACACATGTGGCACACTAGAAACATATGTGGCACATCAAGCCACCTAATGGCACATCATGATTCCCTAGTGGTGCATCATGATCATTAGTGGTACATCCATGCTTCAACAACACATCAACAAAACATTAATACTCCAGAGTACACCAATGCACACCAGAGTGACGCACCTTGTTCTAGGATGGCGCATCCACCTTCAATATGACACATCCTCCTTTAAGATGGCGCATCTTCCTTCAAGATGGTGCATCCTCCTCAATTGTGGCGCATGTTCCTCTATGTTGGTACATCCTCCTTCAAGATGGCACATCCTCCTTCTAGATGACACATCTTGATTCCAAAGTGGCACACCTTGTCTATAACTGGCACACCCTCTTCCTAAATGGTGCATCCAACATTCTAAGTTGTGCATCTTCATCATGGATGACACATCCATGCTCCAAGATGCTCCATTCCTTTCCTAGGTGCTCCATACCCCTTTTACGATGATTCATTCCTTTGTCACATGATCCTTTCTGTAACAATGGTTTTCCTATGTAGGTCAGTTTAGAGCTTGAAAGAATCAAAGGAAGGATTCGTGAGAAAGACTCAGTGCCAGGGTGTGGAGTATGGACGGCCACGACATGGCATGGAAGTTTCATGCACGTATTTTTGGATACCCGCCACGGCATGGCAATGTATAGCCATGACGTGGTAGCTGGTGCAGCCCAGGCCCACAAAGTTTTAGGATTTATGCCATATTGATTGTATTTTATGTGCACTACTTTTATTTATAAAGTCTTATCTAATCTCAAGTAGTCTTAAACACAAATAGGCAGTGTACCTAGTCATGAAGTAATATAGTTTAAGGTAAGAAAGGGTGTCGAACACAGGGAACATGATGCTAATTAAATTAATAATTATAAAAAGTAAATATGGGGTTTTTGTTCAAAACAACTAAACTTGATCTAACTAAAAACAAACGAAAGTAGAGAACCAATTAGAAACAATAGATAAGAAGTACTTCCACTAGAATTCGAATTCCCCAAGCTTTTATGTTTGATTTATTAGAAGTGCAATGGATTAATGAGTTGATTACCAAATTGTAATATTACTAGATACCTTGATCGGATTTCCTAGTACTAATAATTAATGAACAACTAACACAATGATCATGCAATTAGTGAACACATAATTAATTAAATATATTTGAATTATGAACGATATGATCTAGTGATTTCTCGTCAATGATCATGACAATCGATCTAAGCATAACATAGATATCTAATGCTCTCTAACACAATCAAAGTCACCGATTAATATTATCTAACCCTAGGCTTATGATCAAAGTCCCAATCATACAAACCTAATGATCATAGATTCATATGATTCAAGTACATCAAGATAGAATGATCATCTAATCCTAATAATACTCAACAATAAACAATAAAATCATAACTTTAATATGAAAGGTAAAGCAATCAATCGAACACAAGTAAAAACCAAATTCAATTAATCCTACTAATGAAATCAAAGCATATCAACAATGGTTCATCAATATCTAGTGAAAGTAAAGGTTTTTACACCATATTCAGTAAACTAAAGTAGAAAAACATCACCAAACGATTGTGAGACACGATCATCAAGCAAACCCGAAGTGAAATATCGATACAATAGCGCTTGAATCTTCAAATCCTTGATCCAATCGACTCTCTAGCTTGAAAATCGACCCCAAAGGGTTTTAGGACGTCAAAAACAAAGTAAAAATCATAGCCCTAAGGCCTCTACCTTCTAGAATCGACCTAATTTCCGGAATATATATAATTACCAAAATCTTGCCACGACGCCGTGGTTGACCTCCATCGCGACGTGGTACTCGAGTATATCCCGTATTCTCCAAGTTAGCGTCAAGAATCACGAAGATTCCATTCACCATGTCGTGGTGTGTTCACCACGTCATGGTTATCGAGAATCAACATTTTCTCAAAACACGAAAGTTTTCCAAAATTGTGTTTAGTTTTCAGAACATTTTGAATCTCGTCAATCGGAGTTACGAGTCATGGGATATGACCAAAATACTGGCGAGAGGTCAAGCTGTCAGCAATATCCTTTTGTGTCTTTTTCAGCTCCGTTCTCCTCATTTTGCATCCCAGCTCCCATTTTAACTGTAACTGAACATTTTCAAGCATATTAAGTATCATATATATCTGAAAATATAACATTTTAATCAAATATATTTAGATAATGGCCTAAAATATATAGTTAAATAAGGTCATATCAAAATACCCCACACTTATCTTCTGTTTGTCCTCAAGCAAAACTGATTTTATTTTAGATTATTATTTCAAATATTTCTAATAATTTTTTTAAAACTCATAGTCATTGTTTTCAATGTTTATTAGTAAACTTGCATGCCTATATTCGACCCCTACCCCACACTTTAATTATACAATGCCCTCATTGTATAAAAACAATTAAAAGCTTATAAAATAAAAGAGGGAGAAAAGGAAAAAACTCGCATTGGTTATGTAGTCGCGAGATTGGATGACTGTCGTGGGTTGCTTATCGATACTAAGCTTGGCTTTGTCTGCTGGAACACTCCAAAATCTGAACATCCTTTCTAAAATCGGTGGACTCTTGGCAACAAAATAAGAGGCGAACAGCTAAACTTCATAGCTCAAAAATCGACTGGGGAGTTACCACGTCATGGCAAGTTGTTAGCTACGACGTGGTCCCTGTAAAAACTGGAACTCAATCGCGAGAAAGTATTCGTCACGACGCGCAGTGAGAATTGGCACGTCGCGGTCTTCAAATGTCAGGAAAGTAGTCGCAATGTAATAAAAAGTCGTGTCCCGAGATAGCTAGGTTCGCGTCACGTCTTCGTGAAAACTCTAAATTCTTCATCGCTGAATGAATCGACTAGTCTTGAAGTAGCTAATTTCTCGACCGGTCTCTCGTATATGTGTCTTACCATATGTAGCATTAGTAGCACAAAAGACTCCTCGGTTTTTGCTCCACGTCAATTGTATACCCCACACTTGTTTGTGTGTCACGCTTCTTGCATTCTTCTCGTAATACTCCACCCTACTATTGCATTTTTGCCCATAATCAATTCTCTTGCAACAAAAATAAGAATCATCAAAAGCACTTTTATTCAAAAATAAAAATAAAATTAAAAACTAAAAGGAAAAGGAAAAGAAAATGCAAACTAATTTAAAAGTCGGGTTGCCTCCCGATAAACGCTTCTTTTTGTGCGAGTCTTGAACTAGACTCTCAACTTAAATAACTTCTAATAAAATCGATGTCAATCCATCCGTTGCATTTAACTTTCTTTTTGGACCGATTTGTAAGATTTGATTTTCTTCTTTTGAAATTGGCCAAACGAGCTTTAATCCATATAATTCAAGAATTTTGACAAGGGTTGGAATCGGTTGGACACTCATCAGAAATGGATCGCACTTCAAAAATTTCTCCAAAGTTGGAATTGTCACCTCATGCTTCGAAACACAACTGGAAAAACAGGGGTCCATGTCGTGGTAATGATCACACCATGATGTGGTTCTTGCATTTTAGTTTGTTCTTGTTCTTCGTCCGAGTCTTCTGCTAGCAACCTCTCCAACTCCTTCAAAAAAAATTTCTGGATCGAATAGATCATCAAGTGCCTGCAACTCATGCTCAAGAATAGCAACAAGAGTATCCATGTTAATAAAAACTAAAAACTAAAAACTAAACTATAAACAAAATTTAATCAACAAATAAAAAAATCTGAACTAAACGCAAACCGTTCCCCGACAACGACGTCAAAAACTTGATTGTGTTTTATTTGCACTAGTTTTTTATTTATAAAGTCATATCTAATCTCAACTAGTCTTAAACACAAAAGAGGCAGTATACCTAGTCGTGAAGTAATATAGTTTAAGGTAAGAAAGGGTGTCCAACATAGGGAACATGATGGTATGGATCAAATGATTCAAATGCTAATTAAATTAATAACTATAAAAAGTAAAGATGAGTTTTTTTTTTGTTCAAAACAACTAAACTTGATCTAACTAAAAACAAATGAAAAGTATAGAACTAATTAGAAACAATAGATAAGAAGTACTTCCACTAGAATTCAAATCCCCCAAGTTTTTATGTTTGATTTATTAGAAGTGCAATGGATTAATGAGTTGATTACCAAATTGTAATATTAATAGTTA